ATCTTTCTTTTATTCTCTAATGTAGTATATTTGCTTGTTAGATCTTGTAAAAGATGGTCTTTTTTGAAGAATTTTGTTTTTAATTACTTTTTTTTTTCAATTTGATGGACTAGATATATCTGCCATCTCACTCTCTAGAAAACGTTTTTCAAATATTGAAAATGATATCGTTTGAAACACAGTATCTCTATTTTGGGTTATAAAGGAAGTTTTGTGAAAAAATTGTGTGCGCCATTACAAGTGTCGGTTAGTCCTAGTGTTTGATCCAGGAGTTTTCTTGTCTTCTGGGTTGGGTTCAAAATTTACAAGGAAACGTAGTTAAGCATTGATGTTTTTAAACCTGAAACTTGGGATGACTGTTTAATGTCGGTTATAAATAAAATATTAAGTTGTGCTAAAGATAAATGTGTTGAGATAATACTATCTTTATTGGGAGAAGAGGATTATACCATTCTTTTTTTTTTCAATGCTGTACAAGTCTCAGAATCGTTACTCTTAACACTAAATTTTTCAGCAGCAGATTCATTGGCGATCATGGCTTTTCTTTGATCTTGGCAATGAATATGAATGTCCGCCTATTTGTGAAAATATTGCACAATATGTTCACGGCTATTCTTTCTAAATAGTGATTACCATCAACGGGCACCAAAACGAATGTTGAAAAATAGCATCACCCTCATATTCCAGTGCTGTTCTTAGAGGTGCCACGTCGCCAATAGCTCATTGTGCAGCTCTAGTGCGACGTAAATGAATTCCAACAACTGTACTAACAATCTAGAGTGACACGGACAAAATAACGAATCCCAGGGATGGGCAAACTACAGCCTACGGGCCAACTGTGGCCCACCGGAAGATGTTTCCCGGCCCGTGAATAGAATTTTAACTTGCCGATCCATGGCGAATATGAACAGTATACATCCATTTTCTTGTCTACTTTGTTTAAAGCTATTTTTGTTCTTTCTTTTTCAACTAAGTACTGACGACCTTTTTACTCTATTCTTGTTCTACAAAATATAAATTGATGTAAATAGCTAACACAGATAGCTTCAATTGGTAAAATGTTGAAAGCAGAAAATCTTTATAGAATAGGCTTCGATTGGCGCCAAAAAGCGTTTGTCTTTCTTGAGGAGCAAACATACAGAATCTAATATATGTGAATCGCACTTCAGGTATGACAGTCTACGCATTTTAAGCTCCAACGAGTGGATTTTTCTCCCAGAAGGCCGAGTTCTAACACTATTTATTACACGCGGAAAGATTGAACACATTGCAGCGGCTGCTGCTTTTAAGCCAATTTCAAGCTAAACGCCGAAATGTGGCAAACTTACGTCGCCAGTTGGCGATAAGGACAATCACGATTGCAAACCTAACTGCACCTGTTTTTCTTCTCAGTTCGGTCTGTGACGACGCCTGTGTATATTACTGGGACAACCTGTCCGCCACGATGTTTAATCTGGAATTAACTAACTTGTAACCTTAATTGTTATCCTTTTATTAAATTTATTATTATTTAATTATGGCTGGCATTCTGTTAATTGTTTCTATTCTTCAATCAACTTAATTATTCATTATATGTTTTTATTTTAGGAGTCGCGTTAACTTCCACGTGTCTCCTCAACATATAACGTTATTGTAAATAATGGTGAAATTATTAAATATATAAAATAGCTAGTGTTTGTGTTATTTTTAAACTCCAAAATGGCTACTAAAAAACGCAAAATTGATTCAGAGTGCCGTGCTTTCAATAATGAATGAACTTGGAAATATTTTTCTACAGTTGCAAAAGATAAACCAGTATCTTTATCTGCGTGTGTTGTTGTTATGTTGTTAATTTACGTCGCACTAGAGCTGCACAATGGGCTATTGGCGATATCTTTATCTGCAATGAAGCTGTGGCAGTTTTTAACGAATTCAACATTAACCGGCATATTACAGTCAAGCATAAGAATGCCAACTACGAAGCAATGTCTGAGTGTGAAAGAGGACAAAATGTAGAAAGTCTTCTTAGAGAATTATCCGGCCGACAAAATTTCTTCAAGAAGATAAACACTGTCCAAGAAGCAGCAACGCATGGAAGTTACATTGTAACATAAATCTCTCGGTGATGGGGAATTTGATAAACAATGTATGTTAGTAATATTTTATGTCCAGAACTTTGAAATTACCAAGGATCTGGCGTGCATGCGTTCTTTAAAGGGAACTACAATGGGATGTGGTATTTCTCTTGAGTTTCTGGAAAGACTTTTAAATTTGAAAGCGCCCGCATTTTTCACAGATCTTTTTTGTCATATGAACAACTTGAATGTTAAGATGCAAGGGAAAAATCAATTATTCGATGATATCTGGGCCCATCTCGATGCTTTTAAACTGAAGCTTAATTTGTTTGCCAGGCAGCTAACTAAACACGACTTGTCTTATTTCTCGAAGTTAAGTTCAATACCCTCAGTAAATAAGAAAAAACATAAGAATTATGAATATGGCTTGAAAAGACTCCATTTTGAGTTTCAGTGCCATTTAAACAGCATTGGATATTTTTACCATGCCTTTCAACATAAATTGTGAAACAGTGAGGTCGGATTTACAGCTTTGAATTAATTGAGTTGCAATTTTACAATCATTTGTTTCTAAATATGCCAAAGTTTGAGTTTTAAAAATCATTACCAAAAGCTAGTTTCCAAAATTTAATATCTCACGCTCAGAAAATCAGAGCTATGTTTGCTTCATCTTATATACTATGTGAACAAGTGTTTTCAACTATGAACCTTTAAAAAAATAATTTCAGAAGTTGATTAACAGACAAGCCTTAAAATAAGTACATCTTACTTCGAACCTCAATATAAGGAACTTTTAAAAATGAAATCGCAATTTCTTTCATCTCATAAAATATTTAAATTAAAACTAGTGTATTGTTTCTTTATTTTAGAAATTTTTACTCAGCCCAACAAACTTTTTTTCTTTCGATTTTTGGCCCTCGATCAAAAGAGTTTGCCTATCCAGAGTAACATTAGCTATTTTTTTCTTTTTGCTTGATTTCATTATAATTTTAACACTGGACTTTGTTTTTAACTTCGATCAAAAGAGTTTGCCTATCCAGAGTAACATTAGCTATTTTCTACTTTTTGCTTGATTTCATTATAATTTTAACACTGGACTTTGTTTTTAACTTCTTTTGATTACTTTTCTTTGAGCGCGTAATGAAAATTGCGTTGAGAGCAGCATAAACACTTTCATCTCTAGTGATATTCTTTACATATATCCCAAGTATTTACATACACTATTCTGTTTAATGAGTTATTAACTAACCTCCAAATATGGATGGTGTTTTCTACACTAGGGAACGCTGCAACCTCGGTACCGCTTGAATTTCCGGGTTACTGTTTCCGTTGTATTTTAAAGCCATTTGTCATCATTGTGCTTTGAGATTCTTGCAAACAATGTATTTGATTACTTATTACTTGTGTTTACAATGCTAAAAGTGTTAACACTAACGTAAGATGGTGCACAGCTTGCAACAAGAACAAACAGTAATAAACTTATGGAAAGAGGCCATATCAAGACTGCCAAAAAAGCGAGTTATTCAAAATCTAGCAACCATGTCACCTTTTTTAACAATATATCTCTAAAAAACTAAAACAAATTTTCACTTCAAACTCACCAGAATTACATATTAACATTAATATCTTATGAAATATGGCAGATTTGAGCTCAGAAATTATCTAATTTATTTCTTTTATTGAAAACAAAATTATCCGTTTGAAAACATCGCCTATCAGAATAACATGTAGTAAGCAGCTGCAAACTTTTTAACCGGAACTAGAGTAGGTGCCGAGCTCGAGATTGTTTACATTTCTATAGAAAACACCATCCACATAAAATTCATAAAGGGTGTATCTGAAATGATTAAAAAAACTCCATTTAAAATAAATAAATCATTTTCACAACTTAGTGTCACGCTTTATGTGTAGGTATGGAAATTATTAAAAATTGAAAAAATTATAAATGAAAGGTAATTACGTATGAAGAAATAAAATTATACTATAAGACAGCCAGAAAGATGGAACAAAATTTGAGCGCTTCTAAGTAAAAGTTTCCAGACTGAATGTCGAGAAAGAGTTGATTTTTTCAACTTACTTATGAATTACGACTATTCTTGTAGCGTCTTCCATCCACTTATTTCTATCCCAAAAATTATAGGAAATATTGCGTGTGAAGCATTTATAACCAAATTCATACATTCTCTTACAGCCATAGATATGCAATGCATTCGTCTCGCAATGTGGTAAAATGATTTTTAAGATGTTACCTACTTAATTAAAACCTTAAGGAAATCTTTTTGAAAATAATTTTTTTTTAAAAATGAGTAATTTGGAAACTTTATTTAATAATTGCCTCATTTCGCGCTGTGCAACTTTAATTAAAATACTGCTTTTAGGACCACCTTAATTTAAATACCTTTAATTAAAATACTGCTTTTAGGATCGACATTTAGGACCACCGCAATGCGGCACTACAGTGGACTGATCGTTAAGACACAGTTTCCAGTAGATCACCGAAGTTAAGCATCACTGGCTGCGGTCAGTGCGCGACAATAATAATTCGAAAATAAAGGAGTGTAATGCTTATAACTGAAATAGTTCAGATATGAATAGTATATAGTTTGTCGTTTAGATATGAATCCTCATTCGATATCTTAAGGACAAACCAGACCTTAGATCCACACATTTATGAGGGTGTTGGGCTAGATTAAAAACAACCATGCATAACAACTTCATTCAGTGATTAGTTTGTATTAATTGTATATTAATTTTAACCACTTTAAGTTTGAAACAGAAACTCTTTTGTTGCATTGTTTTTAATTAATAATTATTAAGTAAATAATATAACTTTCATCTGAGCTTTGATTAATAAATGTGAAAGAAATAAAACTCGATTTAAAAAATAAGTTTTTTTTCCTTAAATAATTTCGGGATACCTTGTTTTTGGAAGTAAAGGAGGACACATACTGAATTATATTTTTATTACATACAGAGGCATAAGTAAGTAATACATATTCTGCGATAGGGAAAAAAATTACATTAAAATAAATTTCTTATATCTTTTCTGAGATGTAGCTCAGACTTAACCTCTTTACAGGGCCTGGCTCCTCTCATTACAGATACTGCAATAAAAAGTAAATTGTTATTACCTTATTATAACACAATTATAGAATGGTAATGAAGCTTTTTATAGTGTCTTAGTCATAAAAGAAACTTTTATATACAGGGTATCTGCTACATTTCAGATTTTCAAATCCATGACTTTCCAGGAATAATTCCAAGAAATGTTCATGACTTACTGAAGTTACAATTTTCTCAGATAAAAACACAACAGCAAATTTAAAAAAGCATTATAATAACATTAATTGAAATAACATACATAACCAAAACTGTTATACTCTGCATTTTCAATTTATTGATCTTAAACCTAATAAAACAGAGTAAAGAAAGAGTGGAAGCAATAAAACAGCTGAAAAAAATACAAAAGCAAATAACTAAATATAGTGAGATATATGTAGTTACTTAAAAACTATTTTATTTCTTTTTAAAAGTGTAAAATAAAAATAATAAATAAATAAAAAAATTCTGAAATCACTGAAGTTTGAAAGATAATTCCCTCTAGAAATGATGTTCTTTCTTTCATTTTTTGAAAAAAACATCATAATTTAATAAAGAACAGGAAAAAAAAACATTTTATATTTTAATGAAATATAAAATGTGAGTGGGGATTTTGTTACTAATTCAAATATTCGGAGCATCGGAACTCTGTGAAATTAAGGGGGGGGATTTTCAGTTTTAAAAAATAAGATTTTTTGGCGACCTAAATCTATGCCTTTCCATGATAAAAAAAAAAAAAAACTAAAATTATGACATTTCATGACAAATTTTGTTCAATACTGTAATCCATGACTTTCAGGTGTGCAGATACCCCTTTTATAAATTGACATAGGACAAGTCTAGAATGACAGAACACAAGATATCAGGGCAGAACTATGAAAACTTTTAACTGAGTACAAATGCTTTAGGATCTCAGCTCAAGTTATCCATAACCAAAATTGCTCACAGTCAACCGTTTGAAATAAATTATTTAAATAAAATAAAAAACGAGCATTTTCAAGTACAACAATGGCTATTATGAATAAAAGTAAGATAGTATACCTTTGTTACGATTCACGATGTAAGTTATTTTAATTAATTAATATTATTTTATAATGTAATTATGTCTCATTCTTAATGATACAATTCATGGATTCAGTTGGCTGGAGTTCAATTAAAATATCTTGAAATACATTGAAAATAGTTTGCGAATTCAAATATATATACATGGATCACACTCTAGAACAATGGTTCCCAATTAACGTTCCACAGAACACTAGGGTTCCGTGGCAGAGTTAAAACAGCACCAACAGTTGAAATTTTTGAAAAAGTTTTTTCTACAACATTTTCGAAATCTGTAATTATATTTAAAGTAATATGTTAAAAAATGAGAAATGAAAATTTTTAAAAAAATATATAACTTTTCTAACAACAATTTAAAAAAAGTATGAAAAAAAAAACATGCATTTATAAGAATTTGCAATAGTATTTTACATTGGGCTTTTCAAATCTAAATAAAATAACTGAATTTTTTTAAATAAAGAAATATGTTTCCCTAATAACCATTTTTAACATTTAAAACAGTTTTTAATAGCAATATAAAAACAAATTTTCAGCTAGACTAGATTCATCTCTAAGACAGTGTATTCAACTGTTGAAAATAAAACCTAAATTAAGATTATTAAATATAAAACGATGAAAAAATTTTATTTCTCTTTTTAAATATTAAAAGTTTAAAATAAAAATAATGTATTTTACTTTAATTATTACCGGATTATTTAATCATTTAGGGCTCCATAGCCGAAAAAAATTGGGAACGGCTTTTCTAGAATTGTTCGATTTACTGTCCTGTTAATAGAAACCACAGAAAGAAGTATTGTCATCTAATTTCTGTTTGTATTTATTCGTCATTTGCATGCACTTTACAGAGCTACATACTACCTTCCTTTAATCAGGATAAATATAAATACAAAAAGGTCTTTCATGCTCTAACCATTCTTTAAATAAAAATTAAAATGGATCATGTAAAAAAAAAAACTGTGATTACCACATGCATTAAAAATTTAAAACTAAGTTGTTTCTTTATGTTTCACTGCATTTTAAAAATATTTTTGCACTGAGTTTGACTTCCCAGCACTTTACATCTTTACCATTCAACAGTTTCATGGCCACTAGTAACTCAAATAACATTTATTCTTAGTAGCAGCTGATTTAAAATGAAAAAAGAATATTTGTATGGAAATACTTAGCAATCTTGCTGAGGTATATTGAATAGTAAAGTAAGTTGAACCATTTTTATGGTTGCCATTAACATCCTTACCCTTTATGAGTTGATTTTAACATTATTGTAAATTTTTGTTTTTTATTAGTTTATACTAGATAAGTCTTAGTACAAAATATGTAAAAGTTTTTACAAAAGTAATAATATTTTGTTTCCTGTAAAATAGCTATCAACATGGATAGGAAATATTATAACTTTCATGGTAACTGCTGCATAAACTTAATATTTTACATATAGGGTATTTTTTGTCATCAAAATACCCTTATCACACTAATATATACACATGGTCTGCAATATTTTTCATTCGTAATTGACATCATATGAATTCGAAACTCTCTTTTTTATGCTAACTCATAATTTTAAACAGTAGTAGACAAGTAAATAATTATTGATAATTAAAAGATTTCATAATTTAAAAAGGGTGTGCTGAATAAAAAGAAACTGACATTTTTAGAACAAAGATAAAGAAAGCTTTAAACTGATTATTCTAAATGAGACCACTTCATTATGTATTCATAATACTTATTTAAATATTCAAGTGAGACATAAAATGCATAAAAATTCCATTCTAATAGGGATTTTTTTTCTCTCGAAAACTCCCTCAATTATAGAGAATTTTCTAAAACGTACAAAAAACAGGAGAAAGGCCAGAAGAAAATGGCAAAATCCAATAGTCTGCTGGTAAATCCAGTAGAGTTGGCAGCTATGCTGCAGGGTAAAATAAAAAAAATGTCCATACATCTTAAACTACATCATTACCATATATCTTAAAATTTGTATAAGAATGGTAATGACAGTTTGAGAATTTTAATGACAGAAATCAAAATAGAATAATACAATGTAATTTTTATTTATTTTACAATTTTAATTTAAATTTAAAACATTGAATTTAACAGTATAATTTTAACAGAATAATTTCAACAGTATTTTATGAAATAAACATTATTTGGGTATTAAGACTTTCAAATACTAAGTAAAAATAAAATAATATGCACTCTAAATCTGAAAAATTGATATAAATTCAGACTTTGTTTACATTTACAGGAAAAAAACTTATAGCATTTTATTTTTTTCTGATACTTTTGGCGACTTTAAAACAACTCACAAAAACTCAATTTTTTGAATTTATACATGATTTATGACAAAGAATGATAACGACAGTTTTTGACAAATTTATAAAATGAGGCCTTGTTCGCTTTAAACTAAATGTAATCTTTTACGAACATTTGTAGTTCCCCAAATATATATATCCTGCCTTTAAAAGAAATAAAAAACTGTACCTGTAGTAAAAATTTAAAAAATTTAAGAATAAAAAATCACACATTACAATATGTATGCTAGCTGAATAACCATATTCATACAAGGCGAATGAAAAGAAAATATTCAATGAATCAGTACTGAATAAATTCGATACTTTATTGAAGTAAAAAAACTTTTTATATTCCTTATTGTTTTATGATACATTTTCAGTTAATTTTTACATTAAAGATTTTAACTAAGTTGCCTTATGTATAGTGGACAAAATAAAAAAGAACCACCCTGAATAGATTTTGATTTAATGTGATCGGATCTTCACATTCTAGGACTCAATCTTAATGGTTAACCTCAAATATGTTGATTAATTAATATAGACGATATTTTAAATCACATACATAAACATACTTTCTCTACATTTAGACCATCATGAGTTATTTCCTGCACAAAAATCATAAAAAGAACATACTAGAAACATTTTGGCTTAATATAAATGAGTGATTTGAGTAAAATCAGCAGTTTATGACATAGATGGTATATACCAGATGAAGACAAATATATAAAAAAATTACTTTTTACTTAAGTAATAATAACAATATCATTAAAAATCTTATTAGTTTAGAATTGAGGGTGCTAAATCTAGCTCATTTAAAAAAAATCGCTAAGTCTAATATTTTATAAAAACAAATTTTGGTTTTAATTTATTATTAATTAAAAGAGGTCATTGCTCTGCATCACCTTGAAATTAATATTCACTCCTTCATGATTAGTATTTTTTCACTTTTGTAAAAAAACCGAACATTGAAACAGATCCTCTTAAATTTGTAAGAATTTATTTATTTATTTTTCGAAATTAAATAATTATGTATGCTACTGACTGAACTTCATGGATAAATAAAGCTCTTTATCACACTGTTCGAAGGTTTCATGTTGAGTGAAACAAGAAATTTTAAATTTATTAAATAAGTCTCATAATGTTAATTTTGAACAAAAAGTAAGAAAGACAATTTAAATAAATTTACTTGCATTTTGATCACTCAAAAAATAAATTTAGATGTCTAAAAATATTTTGTATAATCAGGTAATCGAATGAAATAAATAACGAACAAGAATGCTTTCTTAAGAGTTTAAAAAATAAAAATAATTAATCAAAGAGGTGAATTTTACATTTATTTAAATCTATTTTGAAAAAATAGGTATTTGAAGTTCCTTCTTAATTCTGAGAAAATATAAACTATTAGTCAAGTTTTTCGGTTATACAAATTAACAACGTTATTAGTTAAGACTTTTTTGCATTAGCAACTTTTAGCAAACAAATAATTAACTTAAACGGCAAAAAAAAACATAAATAAAAATATAAGAAACAAAAATAAAAAAAACCTACAACTAAATGCTTAGGGTTTTAGTAGACCAGGTGGGCGAAACATTTTATCGATATTAAAATTATGTTTTGTTTAAAAAAATGCAGATTTAACATCAGAATTTTTTATT